ATTTAAACATGGTACTTTTGAGGTTAAACAAATGTTCATAATTTCAATAAATTACAAGTTAAAAAGGGCATGGCAATTTCTCTTTTTTGTATCAAAAAAATATCAAACCGTGAGACTAAAGTATCGAACCGAACCGTTAATTTTCTGTATCATTGCACCCCTTTTTTATACACACACACACACACACACACACACACACAAACACACACACACGGGTTAAACAATAAAACTGAAACACCTGTCATTTTAGTGTTGGAGGTTTCATGGCTAAATTGGACCAGGCTGCTGGACAATCTTCATTAATTGCACATTGCACCAGGGGACACAGAGCAGACATGCGTCTGAAGAGGGAGGAGCGTCTTGTTTTTTTTTCCTGTCTGTTCTCGGCGGATGAAATAAAGATAAAATAAACAAAATGGCTTTGATTTATTTACTAAAGAGCAAGCGAACGTTGCGCACAGCAGATAATTTATTCACCAGATGATTTAGAGGCGGTTTGTTCAGTTAGTTTGGCCACTCCAGGAACTGCCAGCTGATGGACTTTTTTTTTTTGTCCCAGCAGCTGACCCACATCGGCACTTATATATCCTACCAGAAAATCCAACTGCAGATGGTCGATTTCATCTAAAGATCTCCTGTCCGTCTGTTTCGGTTTAGTGGGAAACATTCAGGAAACTATCACATGGAAAAACGAGTCTCTCTGATTGGTTGTCAAGACGCGTCGAGCGGCGAAAGTTCAGATTTTTGAACTCTGGCATCGGCTGCTTTCAACGCACCTCATGCACGCRCATTTCGTGTCGCGCAAAACGTACGTGACGCGCCGCACGACCCCTAGAGGCGCGTCCACCATAGACTTTGCATGTAAACTGGCTGCTCCTGCAGCTCAAAACGCGTTTGGTGTGAATCCACCATGAGAGCAGAGTGTGAAGGTTCAATTAGCAGGGTAACAGCACAGTTTTGCTCAAAATATTGCAATGAGCACAACATTATGGGTGACAYACCAGAGTTCAAAAGAGGACAAATTGCTGGTGCATCTGTGACCAAGACAGCAAGTCTTTGTGATGTACCAAGAGCCACGGTATCCAGGGTAATGTCAGCATACCACCAAGAAGGACCAACCACATCCAACAGGATTAACTGTGGATGCAAGAGGAAGCTGTCTGAACGGGATGTTATGGTCTAAAACCAGCTGTTCAAATAACTCAACAGAATTGCATCATCATAACAACCAAATGTGTTTATTTAAAGCTGCATTATGTTTAAAAAAATCACATATCTATATACAATGGAAAATGATGGCCTCCTGCTCAGACTTGCATCATCATCAGCTGCAGAGCTGCACATTAACTTTTTCTATCCGCCTCTGAACTCTGGTGCTTTGATACAGACTGCAAATGAGAGCAGGTGAAAGGGACAAAATGTTGGATTTTAATAAAAAATAAATGCTAGTTCAAAGTGTTGCTGGTAATTAGTTGCACGTGTTGTTTGGAAAAAGATAAAACATGAGTCAAATAATCAGACTACATCTAGCTCTAGAAATGCTTAACTGTTTCCAAGTCTTCCTGCTGAGAACGTAATTTAATTAAGCTGGAATACAACATTAAACTGTGTCTAAATGTCAGAGAAGTCGCTGTGCTGAACGCAGCTCCGCAGTAAAATAACATGTTCTTTCTTTAGTAACATAAAAACATTGTTAGCTGTTAGCTCAGCTAACGAACAGCAGGTTGTCAGAGTTCAACATGTCTCATGACAGAATAAAAGATGAGCAACGTCTCGAACTTTTCTTGTTTGTTACAAACGGTCCATCACTTTAAATGTGAACATTTACAATCTCCACCACTTATTGCTTCTTTTTTTCCATCAGTGAACGTAGTGTTTCCATCGCTCTGCAGAGGTATTTCACAGATTCTTTAGTATGTTGTTGCAAAGATGTTAATATTTCACGTGTTTTTGGTCGAATGGACTMTGCCATTTTGTCCTGCAGTTTATTGGTGATGAAATTGATGCTCTATTTAAACAAACTTCAAAACATGTTTGAGCTTATAGCACTCAAAGAGTAAACTGCACCAAAATATAGCATTTTATCTAAATAGTGTTCAAGTTTCATGACTCAAACATGTCGATGCTGTGACGGCAGCAAACAAAAACATTTTCTCTTTGATCCTCGATTAATTAATAATAAAAATCAGTAGTTGATGTTAAGAGCAAAATTTCATCAAATTATCATTTGTTTTTGCTGCAGAATCACAAGTTTTCTGGGTTTTTAGTTAAACCACCAGAAAATATTTGAGCAATTTCTCAATGCTAAAATGGTCAAAACTTCTTTATTCCATCACTGATACAGACGATCTTTGTGTCGATTTCTTAGTTGTTTCAAGCTCTATCCATTGCAATTACAAAAAGAACAATTCGTGGACTTGTTATTTTTTCTCCTCTTTCTGCACCAATAACTGCACCGATTTCCCTACTTTTGGGTGATTGGTTGATAATTACATGAGAAGCTGATCTTCTCCACCCATCTGATTGACCTCTGCAAATGTGTGAAAATCGTCCAMTGTCCTGTTTTGCTCTGCTGTGAGAGACGGCTGGTGTCCAGTTAAAACCTGGATTATTTTAAGGGTGATATTCAGTGATTTTCAATAAAATAAGAATGGAACATTGAAGGTGTACCTTATAACACCTGACAGCATCGGTTATCAAAAAAAAAAAATCGGTATCGACCAGAAAACTGCAGTCATTGCACCCTTAGATTAGATCTTTTGTTGTTTTTTAGTTATTTATTATGACCATTATTATGGTCATATTATTTTCGTACTTTTTTCCAGTGATTTTTGGTCAACCGTAGCACAAAAACAGCTGCACCGATCAACATAAAATTTGGCAGGACTGTAGATGAGTCTGACTTACACTGCGCCTGCCAACGGTTTTACGATAGACCCCATATTTGAGGAGGGGTCTCCATCCAAAGAGGGGGTGTCTAGACATGCAAAAATGCTTATGACTCAMACTGTTAGCATAGAAGCTACAGATTTCTTTTGTTGTTTAGCTCTGATGAAGCTCTATCCATCAGGCTCACCAATCAGTGCACACACCCCCACCCGACCTCCAATTTATCTGAAAAAGTGGTATCTGGACATACAAAAAGGTTATTGCTCAAAAACTATTAAACATAGGAGCTTCAGATTTCCGTTGGTTGTTTAGCTCTGATCAGGGGCTATCCATCAGGTCAACCAATGCCCCCCTCCACCCTAAAAAAAAAGAGGACCCCACCCACCCAAACCACCACAATTTTGGGATGCACCTAGTAGCATGACATTTATTAGGAATAAAGACTTCTGAGTTCTGCTGCATTTCTGTGTGCGGGGGTCATTATGTTACCGCAATGCTGTGTCTAGTTTCTAAAGCTTTTATGGGTTTTGTGATGCAACATTTTGAAATTTACTAATGTAAAGAAACTTTTAAAAGGAATTTATTATTATTATTATTGTGGCTTGAAGCTTAATTTTCTATTATAAAATCARCCAGACATAGAAGTTGGAGCAACACGGGACACAGAGCCTGGATCAGTGTCCTCTTCTCAATATTTGATGCAGAAAGGTCGTCAGTCTCTGAGACAATATTGGACCAGAATTGGCCCAAATCAACCAAAAACACATCTGACATTTTGATTATTTATTTGCTTTGTTTGTTTGTTTTTTTTAAGGTCCCGTAACATCCTGGATGACTTCAGGGAAGCGTATTACTGGTTGAGGCAGAACACGGACGAGCACGCCCGCGTCATGTCCTGGTGGGACTACGGTTATCAGATCGCTGGCATGGCCAACAGGACCACTCTGGTAGATAACAACACGTGGAACAACAGTCACATAGCGCTGGTAAGACCTCCAGGCTTCGGTTTTCTSTTTTATCTTGTCTGACTACATGAATATAGAGGGAACAGATGCAGCAGCTGGATGATGAGCGGGCTCCTTTGTGAATCTTTTTGTGTAATTGCCACATTGTGTAACCGCGCTCCCTCCTACTCGCCTCCTAATCCTATTTGTTTAAACTTTTCCTGCTGAATTTCCACTGTAGGGAAATATCAGTTAATTGTCAGATTTTGTGGGTTTGATTTATTTTTCTTTCTCTCCGCTGTCAGCTGCAGACAAATGTTTTTGTCTTTTTTTAGTTGAAGCCCTCTAGCTTTCCTGCGTCTTGCTTTCTACCTGCTGCCTGCCGTCTCTGCGCCACAGAWAACATAATTACAGAGAATACATGATGTATTTCTGTTCGATGATGCTGCCTGTGCCRCACGACGCCTTATAGCAGAAAACACCATTAAAAGTTTGGTGGTTGTTGCAGGTGGGGAAAGCCATGTCGTCCAATGAGAGCGCAGCATATGAAATCATGAAGTCGCTGGACGTGGACTACGTGCTGATCATATTCGGAGGAGTGATCGGCTACTCGGGTGACGACATCAACAAGTTCCTGTGGATGGTGAGGATAGCAGAGGGGGAGCATCCCAAAGACATCAGGGTGAGTAAAACCTTCACTGGTCCACAGAATGAAGRGATCAGGTCTGTTAGTCACCCCTTTGATGCTTTTCTAAATCAACAAGCTGCTTTGTTGCATCACTAGTTTGTTTTATCAAGCTTCAAGGCTGACTTTATTGTTTTCACTTCAAATAAAGTAAAAACAAAGTGCTTTCATCCTGATTTCAGACAAACAGGAGGGTAACTTGTGTATTCGACACGTTTAACTAAAACATTTCTGCCTCTGAAGGTCCGACTGCAGCCAACAGGAGCTCCTCTGTTTTCACAAACATCTGCTTTAAAGAGGACATATCACACAAAATCTACTTTTGTAGTCATTAAATACAGTTTTGTGATTGAACTAAATAAGGTCTGGACTTACCAGCTACATTTTGGTGGTCTTCATTCTCCTCTGGTTCTGGGTCAGACTCTGGCTCCAGCATGTGTTCGCTTCAAAAACGGTTTAACTCGTTTAGCTTCTCAATTTCTTAACTGGTTTTCTTCAGGACCTGCCCTGCTGTTTGACCCACAGTCATACAAATCAGGTTCTGGATGCAGGTCAGCTGATCCCAGAAACTCTGTGTGCAGCAGCTTCATATCATCTGTTTACTGAACTTTATGACAACATAAACGCTAACGAAAAGCTACAAAAAATATATTTTCAAACTATTTATTGGCAAATTTAGTCTAATAATTGAAAACATGGATGAAATAAGAAATATGAAACAAATAAAATAAAACATACAAAACAGAACACAGCTACAGTGGGGAAAATAAGTATTTAGTCAGTCACCAATTGTGCAAGTTCTCCCAGTTAAAAAGATGCGAGAGGCCTGTAAT